ATGAAAGAGTTTCAGGTCCTACAGGCACCGAGCCGCCTCCAAGTTGTCAACAAACAACTGTTCTTTCTGAACAAGAGTACGCTCGTAAATACCCCTAGAGGTGTGGCCGCCAACAAGACCGCGAGGAGCAACGAGAAGCTCCAGGAAGAGGTCAGCCCCAGAGATCTCCTCGGGAGGCCAATACTTTCGCGAGTTGATGGCAGCTCCCTGGTTGACGGGTGCCACCACCGAGCCCCACGCACACGCTGGGCAGCTTGGAAGTCCTCCTGCTGCTGGCTTAGTGCTCTTGGCTTGTGCCTTTGCGGCAGCAGCCTTGGAGCGTGTCTTGGCACCGCTCTTTGCAGTGTCACGAGGCATGGTAAACGGTCGAGGTGGAGACCAAGAAGAAGAGCGCACAGACTGCTTCTCGAGGATCTAACTGTGAAGTGAGCCTCCGCAGAGCTCGCACGGCCAAGTCGATGATTTTCGACTTTGAAAATGAGAGTTTGTGACGAACACTTCTTCATTCTGATTGGTCGGTAAACCGAGCCTAAGTGGGGGAAGATGTAACGGGGTACGTATGCCTAAGTGTACCCCTGGTTACATGAAGTGTGCCACGTCACACTTCAAAAGTATGACACGTCATACTTCGGGATAATTGGTACAAGGTACCAAGGTCGTCCAAAGCCAACCATTGGTTGATGACATTGCATTTCTATAGGTGAACTCTAGTTTGTACTAAACCCAAGCTTTGTCTACCTATAAATAAACTCAGCTTACATTCTACCTTAAATAGGTCACTTCGTTCCCTTTTCGATAAAAGGGGACCTGTGAACTGCCGTTCACTGAGCGTGTGTATACTCTCGGAAGCAAACTTCCTCTAGCGCAAGGTGCTGTGTGACCCCGTCACAAGCGCCTTGAAGCAATGTTACGGCCTGATGAGAACAAGATTCTGGCCCACGGAACGTCTGCGTTTACCAAGGCAGGTGTCCCGATGCCAAACCATCACCATCGTCAATAACAGTTCAGAAGCAGCAACACTTCCTCATTAACGCTCTCTCCAGTCCGGGCTATCTGAAGTGGAGCGCAGACTTGGACTCTCTCTTGGGGATACGATCACGATCCGACTCTCGAGAGGTCAAAACGAACAAGACCCCAGGCCGAACAAAGCGTTTCGAGGAGATCATTACTTCAGAGAGGTTCAGGTAGTCTACCCGCGTTGGCGTGGATTGACTACTAGTACTACCAAGTGTGACGGTGTCACACAGCACCTTGCGCTAGAGGAAGTTGGCTTCCGAGAGTATACAAACTCTCAGTAAACGGCAGCTCACAGGTGCTCTTTGCCTAAAGGGAGCGAAGTGACCGTTTTAACGTAGGTTGTAAACTGAGTATATTTATAGGTTGGCTAAGCTTGAGTTAAATATACAAACTATAAGTCATCCATATGAAAGCAATGCCATCAGCCAATGGCTGGCTTCGGACGACTCTGGTACCGTGTACCAAATATCCCGAAGTATGACGTGTCACACTTCATGTAACTAGGGGTCTACATACCCACGTTACAGTTATGAAACCGCGCCTAGTGGCCTGCAAATACGTTTTCGAGCTACAAAGCTCGCGAACGTACTGTACCCACTGCGGCCCAGTGTGGCAGGGCTATATAATCACTGACACCTGCGACGTTGGCCCCGATTATCGGCGATATGATTAACCCCTCTGATACCGCAAATGGAGTCTCTGAACGTGCAAACATTACGTCGTAACTTACGACGTCCTAATAACAGCATTATTGTATAGGGGCGCCCCTTTTGCCGTAGGATACATCGGCGATGGTGAATAAAGTTTTGAAGTGTTTGGTCTTCACATGTCGTATACTTACGACCTCTTCTAAACGCCAACGCATAGAGAAGTCTCAACTTACGACTTCTACTAAAGCCTGATTCAAGAAATGTACTACCCACGTACAAAATCAATTACATAAAACAACAACACTCGAGATACTACAATCAAACCCCCGTTTTATGGCGTTTTCAAACGTTAGCTACATACGCAGTTTCGCCCTCGTCATCAGCATCGTCCTCCTCTTCCCGCAACAACTCACGGCGTGTTTTCTTGCGCGCTCCAAACTTGGCCGGACGTCGAAACACAACTCGTTTCCCAAGTGACTCAGGAATTGATTTTCCACACTCAAATTCTTCATGCCAAATCTGGAAGCATGTTTTCGCGATTCCATTGTACTCACGCCGAGCTTTCGGGCAGAGGAAAAATTTGGCCTCGCCGCTGGAGCAGTCTTCACAGTAGAATGTCGTTTGGAAAGATTTTTTTCTTTCACCGCGAAGAAGTGCGCATACCTTACACGCACGCTGTCTACGCTTTTGAACGCCGAACACAATGACCAAGTCATCGTACTGTTTGTAGATGTGCTGTGGGAGGCGACGACGTTTTCGCCTGGAGGGAGCGGATGACTGTGGAGTTGCTATAGGATCCAAGTCGAAATCTTCGGGTTTTAACTGCAGGAGCTGGTTGTGGAGGACAGCCATCCACGCAGCACGAGACATTGGCGCAATTCTTGCGGCCCGGCATACCTCCTTGTGTGTGATAAAAGCATTCACGATTGCCAGATCTAGGAAGCCTAGAAATAAGGACTTGTAGTACTTTCGAAACCGATAAGCCATTTGAATTGAGAACGACTGCAGGCGGAGTTGATCATGAATATCAACTCCGCCCATCCACCGCTGATAATCGGTCACTAGCTTGGGACACTTTACAGTAATCGCCCCAATTTGTTTCACATTGCGCTGAATCGTATCCTCCTCCATCGATGCACCCGTGGCCAAATAATGGACTGGCTTTCTATCCCACCAGTGGCACGCAACCATTGTAGGTGCTGCCTCGCAGCGCGAGAGCGTAAAGGTTCCTCTCTCAACTCCACGAGGCCGCGTCCGACGGCCTTCAACGACTTGACGGTCAAATCCAATGCGATTCGTCATGATAGTTCCGACGACGTAGATAGACATACCGAGGAGCTGTAAAGCCAGCGCTACGGACGAATAATACCGATCGACAACGACCATTCGAAATCCACTAGAGCAGTCGCCAAGTAAAATTTTCATGTTGCGAATGACGGCAGCCGCACCCGTCTTGTTGTCGATAGTGGTGGATTCTCCGTCTGTTGATTCACGGGCTCCAACATAGACCTCAAACCTAAACCAGTAAGTTACGACGTTAGCTTTTCAGAATTGCTAGAGATGCCATAAGTTACGACTTTGAAAAAAGGATACTAACGCACCTGTGGCAGTAAGCTGTCTTTGTGTCGCAAACCATAAAAAGTTTGGTACCGTACCGATGAGGTTTATCTGACATAAACATCCGCGTAGTGTTCCGCCGAGACGTTGCTGGTAACACACCTTCATCGAACGAAAACACTGCCGGCAATGTCCAGCCAGATTGGAAGCGCTGCTGCAGGATATCGACGACCGGACGCAGTTTCCACAGTTTGTCTCGAGTGCGGGGTGCATTGTTGTTTGTGAGGTGTAGATCACGTAGGATAGCTGTACATCGGTTGCGTGGCATATATTTGCCAAAGGTACCAGCAGGTAAAGCTCCGTCACACGCAATCGCCCAGTGCTTCGAAAACCGTTGCTTGTGGGGGCACAACATGTGCGCAACAAGCAGCCCGATCACGTGCAAGATTTCGCAGGTATCGTACGCCTTCGCAGCGCTCAAACGCCGTCGTATCTGCAAAAGTGTTTCTGGTGACGCGATACGGTTGTTACGCCTCTGGCTTGAGCGTATTTTCTTGGCTTCTGAGTCAATGTTTTGGGCTCGATAGCGGTTGGTTTCAGTCGCGATGTCGACCCACAACTGCTTAGGCATGAAGTAGAACAGCAACCCTAGTGGTGTAGTTGCCATTTCCCGTAGCTCGTGCGTAGGAGTTTCTTCGTCACTTGAAAGCCCCTGGTAGCTCGGTCTACCACTTTCGAACAGAGAGGACGGTTCACTCCACTTCGTCAGGCGCAAAGCATCCTTGTCTATGTTGGCAATGGAAAGGAGTCCCACCAAGAGAAGCTACAAATGCCTCGTCAACTAGTTTCAGCTCATCATCCGGAAGTTCGTCGTCGTCTTCAACATGTTCTCTGCGCTCTACCACATCGTCCTCTTCACAGTCATCACCACCATCATCGCTGGTGCTAGATTCCATACACTCGAAGTCATCGGAGTGTTCGTCTTCTTGTAGTACATTCACATCGTCCGCTCTAACGTGGACAGCGGGTGGAGACGTATCCACACGTTCCACATCATCCTGCTTGCTCTCGTTGTCCGAGAACTGGACATGTCCTTATGATTCAGCTTCCGACAGCATTCGCTGGAACGCACCAACAACGACATCTTCGTCTGATAACCCGATCTGACCAGGTAACTGTTGCGCTATGTCCGCAGCCGGTGCAGCCACTCCTGTATCAGGCCCGGCATTCTCCTCGTTAGCATCACTGCTGCCGTCAAACAGGGCATCCAGCGTAGGCGCGGACAACATCAGAGAGCAGTCAATTTGAGAAGGACGGACGTTTTCATCTGACTCCTGTCCGTTGTCGTCACTGCTTTCGTCCAGATTGATCAGCCCAGACGAAATGGCATATCTAACAACCGCGTCCTCGCCTTTGAGCATGTTAACAGTTAGTACTTAGATATAAAACCCTTCCAAAGATTTGCTTACCAGTGAACATGTTTGTCCCTTCAACCAGCTCCTGCGAGTCACGATTTGGAGCGAAGT